TGGGCAAAATATCGAGTGGGGGAGAGTAGGATGTTGGAGTATGTATGTAATAACAAAAAAAGGGAGGAACCACTGCGTAGGCCTGTAATAAAGTTGGTAAATTCCCGACAATATGTAAGTAAAAGGACAAAAGTGCAACTAATGGCATTTATTGTCCAACGTTTCGCTCTCCGGGAGCTTTATAAGCCATTAAAAACAATACATGGACACAGAGGGTATATAAAGGCCATGAGGTTGAATACAGTGGTCCCAAATTTCGAGGGTTCACTGGGGTAGGTTAGAAGTAGTATGACTATGTAGTAGTGGTAGGACAAAGTAATACATTTTAGAGAAATTTAAACGTCCCTGAGAAAAAGGGATATAAAAGCTATTACTTGGGTAAAATAAAAATGGTTTACAAATATAAACGGGAATGAGCGGGCTTGTTTCAGTGTTCACTCTCTGTGCTTTGTGTGTATACAGAGAACTGTGTGGCAGGGTTACTGTTTTCAGGAGGATTTTGCAAACTTCGGGAGGGTGAAGCCCCCGTTGTTTTGTTTAATTGTTTTCAAACAGCGATCAGTGCTGATTCGAGGCACTTGCGTCGGCGGGTTTAGTTTTTTTTTTTGATCACAATAGGGGCCGTCCCCTGAATTTCATGAATGTTTGGGGTGGAATTTCGGTGTTGTACAAGGCGTTGTTCAGGTTATCGTTCCTAATTATTTAAATGTGTTCAATTGAGGGGGTTGGGGTTTATGGCTGTTTCACACGTAAATCTTGTCCACACCTCACAGGTATAGGGGTAAAACTCTGCATTGACTGGTCGTGGTGCTTGATTTTGCCCTGGTTATATCCTTTATTGAAGTGCTAGAAGCATGGCGACTCGGGTGTTACTTGTAAAGTGCTTTTAAACTTTCAGTGCAAACCTGACGTGGAAAATTAAACTTTGCTGGAAGTGGTGTTTGGTGGAGATTTATGATCTGAAGAATCTTTACAATTTTCTTGCATCTTTGATGAAAAAAAAAGGGAAAATGTAACTTGTGAATGTTTGGTGAATTAGTACACTCTCGCAAGAAACTCGGGACTACAAATCGGCATGCTTTAGGAAAAACCGTGATGATGCCTCTTTTGGTCTTGGATCTTAGGAATAGAAGTGTGTGAGATCATTTTTATTGGTGGGTTTCCGATAAACTTGAAATCTTAGGTTGTTGTCTACTTTGTGAATGAGGACGTCGAGGAAAGGAGCTTGTCATTGGACTCTTCTTCTGGGTGAAAAACTGGATCGCCGGTTCAACTGCGTTGGAGCCTTCCCTGAAATCCCGTACATCAAAAACGTTTTGGAGTTATTACGAGGAATCGTCCACGTAACGTAACCAAGTGACGCTTGAGGGTGAGTTGGCGAAGTGTTCGGTCTCTAGGTGTTCCAGTATAAGTTGGCTAGGACGGCACTGATGGGGACCCCATTCCCATGCCGTAGGTTTGTTTGTAGAGCTTGTTATTGAAAGAAAAACATTTAAAATTTAAACACAGAGTTCAATTAAGTCAACAAAATCTCCGGAGGTAGAGGAAGATTAAGGTCCTGATTGACTTTACGTCGTAGAACCTCGATGGCTTTTTTGGTGGGTACTTTGTGAAGAGGGAAAAGTCACATCCAAACTGCTTAGTTTCTTGTTACGGATGGAGAGGTTACGGATGCGGTTGAGAAGGTCCCTGAGTGTTTAAGATGAGCGGGGCTGATGGTCCCAGAAGGCAGGAAAGATGTTTGGCAAGAACTCCGGCTAGTTTGTGTGGAGCACTGCCTATTCCTGACGTGTTTGGGTTCTGAGAGGAATATTGTTTTTTATGGGTCTTGGGTAAACCATACATGTGTGCTGGTTTAGGGTTGCTTGGTAACAATACAAAAGTTTCTTCCCTTCTCTAGTGCGTTTGAGTATTTGCCCTGGTTTTGTATAGAAAATCTTTGGTGAGCGTCTCCCACTGTTGAGTGCTATGGGTTCGTATGTAGATTAAATCATTCAAAGGTCCATCATTTTAGTGTTGTAGTCACTGGTGTTGAGGATGGCGACTCCACCCCCTTTTGTCGGCGGTGGTGACGATAATGTTGGGGTCGTTGGCGAGGTTCTTAAAGGCAGTGATGTATCGTCTAGGAAGATTAGAAGTAGAAGGTTCACAAAAAGCTGCAGTGAGAAGGCCCTGTATATAACCCTTCTGGAAGTTGCTGTCACTGTGTCAATGGTTCCTGGTAACTAGATTAAGTTGATATTTTAGGTTTGCGTATGTTGGTGGTAAATTTGAGTCCCGGGGGACCAGTGCTTGTTTTTCGTAGTCGGTTAAGGTGCGTGACGATAAGTTGTTTATCAGGATTCACGTCCCATTTCCTTCCATCGACTGTTAGAGCAGAGGTACTGAAGTTTGCGATTGATTTGATCTTCTGTTGGAGGTTAGCTGGGGTTTGACTGTGCTGTGCACCATGTATGGTTACCCAAGACCCATAAACACAATATTCCTCTCAGACCAATCACGCCCGGAATAGCAGTGCTCCACACAAACTAGCCGGAGTTCTTCCCAAAAACATCTTTCCTGCCTTCTGGGGACCATCAGCCCCGCTCATCTTAAACACTCAGGTGACCTTCTCAACCGCATCCGTACCTCTCCATCCGTAACAAGAAACTAAGCAGTTTTGGATGTGACTTCCCTCTTCCCCAAAAGTACCTACCAAAAAAGCCATCGAGGTTCTACGACGTAAAGTCAAACAGGGCCTTAATCTTCCTCTACCTCCCGGAGATTTTGTTGACTTAATTGAACTCTGTTTTAAATTTTAACTGTTTTTCTTTCAATAACAAGCTCTACAAAACAAACCTACGGCTGGGAATGGGTCCCCATCAGTGCCCTCCTAGCCAACTTATACATGGAACACCCAGAGTCCGAACACTTCGCCAACATCATCCCCTTTAAGCGTCACTTGGTTACGTTACGTGGACGATGTCCTCGTAATAACTCCAAAACGTTTGATGTACGGGATCTTCAGGCAAGCTCAACGCAGTTGAACGGCGATCCGTTTACTTAGAAGAAGAGTCCAATGACAAGCTACCTTTCCTCGACGTCCTCATTCACAAAGTAGACAACAACCTAAGATTTCAAGTTTATCGGAAACCCACCCAAAAAAAATGATCTCACACACTTCTATTCCCGTCAAGATCCAAGACCAAAAGAGGCATCATCATCGGGTTTTCCTAAGAGCATACCGAATTTGTAGTCCTGAGTTTCTTGACGAGGAGTGTACATACATTCACCAAACATTCACAGAGTTACATTTTCCTTCTTTTTCATCAAAGACTGCAAGAAAAGAGCTCTTCAATCATAAATTCTCCACGCATCAACACCACTCCCAGCAAAGTTATAATCTTCCCAACAGTCAGGTTGCACTGAACGTCTCAAAAGCACTTTCCCAAAACTAACACCAGAGTCGCCATCGCTTCTAGCACTTCAATAAAGGTATAACCAGGACAAAATCCAAGCACCACAAACCAGTTCAATGCAGGAGTTTACACTATACCCTGTGGAGGCTGTGACATAGATTTACGTAGGTGAAACAGCCAGAAACCTCGACACCCGCCTCAAGAACACATTTTTCGCATGTAGGAACGATAACCTGAACAACGCCTGTGTACAACACCGAAATTCCCCCAATCATCTCATAAATTCAGAGACGCCCAATTAGTGATCAAAGAAACTAAAATTTTCCCCAGACGCAAGTGCCTCGAATCAGCACTGATCGCTGTTTTTGATACAATTAAACAAAACAACGGCAGCTTCACCATCTCCGAAGTCTTTGCAAGAATCCTCCTGAAAACAGTAAACCCTGCCATCACAAAAGTCTTCCTGTTATACTACACAAAGCACAGAGTGAACACTGAAACAAGCTGCCTCATTCTAGTTTATATTTGTCCAACCTATTTTTATGTTACCCAAGTAATAGCTTTTATATCCTTTTACTCATGTACAAATTAATTGCTCTACCATATTGTATTACTTTTGTCACTACCACTACTACTACTACTACCACTAGTGAACATCGAAATGGTACCTCACTACTATTCACCTCACTCTGAGCCTTTATATACCCTCTGTGTCCATGTATTGTTTGTAATGGCTTGATAAAGCTCCTGGAGAGCGAAACGTTGCCACAATAAATGTCACATTAGTTGCACTTGTGTCCTTTTACTTTACATGCCGTAGGCCTGTTGGCCTAGACCCCACCTTCATTCTGAAATTTGTAAAATTCTGAAACTTGAAACACTGCTGGCCCCATGGGTTTTGGATAAAGGGATTGGGACTGTAGTAGTGTGTAGAGAGAGTAGATGTAGGTGGCTAGGTACTGGTACGGTAGTGTGTAGAGAGTGTGGGTTTAGGTGGATAGGTGCTGGTATAGTGGGTAGGAGCTGATACAGTTGTGTGCAATGCATGTGGGTGTAGGTGGGTATGTGCTGGTACCATAGTGTGTTTAGAGTTTAGACATGGAAGTGTGGACATGGAAGTGTGGACATGGAAGTGTGGACATGGAAGTGTGGACATGGAAGTGTGGACATGAAAGAGTGTGGACATGAGTGTGGACATGGAGGAGTGTGGACATGGAGGAGTGTGGACATGGAGGAGTATGGACATGAGTGTGTGAGCAATGAAAGAATGTGAGCATGGAAGTGTGGGCATGGATGAGCATGGGCTGCTACATCAATATTTCTACACTGGGCATCATGACCCAGGAAAGGAAATACGTTGGCCATTATTTATTGCATAGCTGTCTCGCCAGAATCATGCAGCCACCACAATTAAAATATCTCTCCAATGTCAACATTACCTCCCCTCCTTCAGAGTACATTAACTCTGATTATACTCGCCTCCAAAAGACAAGTGCGACTAACAAGAATCCCTGAATTCCACCATGTTATCTTACTTGCCTTCCTACAACATGTAATGCCAGAGTTTGGTGGTAGAGTAAGAGTGGTAGTGTAATCAAGTACCTGGATGGTGTGGGTGTGGGTGGGTGGTGGTTGGTGCTGGAGAGCATGGAGATAAAGTTGACCATCTTGTAAAGTTATCCTGGAGTAGCAGAGGTCATCTTGGTCTTGCTGGACAGCCAACACCAGGCCAGCCTCCACCAGCCTCTTGATGCTTTCACTCATCCCACGAAGATCATCAACCTGTAGACAGTGTCACTAACATTATCACCTGTGTGTAGTGTCAATACCATTATCTTCTACATAAAATGTCAGCACCAGTACCACCTGTGTGTGGTGTAAGAACCATTATCACTAGTGTATTTACTAGACCATTAATTAACCTTCTGACTGTCTTCGTCGAATAAATATGTCTTACAAGCCATTATGTTTGATGTATTGATACACCAAAATTCTAGCAGTTTAAAATCAAGTGGGAGAGAGCTGGTAGGCCCACATGTGAGAGAATGGGTCTGTGTGGTGGGTGTACACAGCATGAAAAAAATCAGACCCAGTGGTGCATTGTGGAAAGCCCATTTCTGTACGCCTTGTTCACCATGCCCCGTGGTAAGAAACTCCTTACTCCCCGGTGAATTGGGAATCTTCTGTTCCCAAGTGATGACTAATAAACTTACCCTAAATGCTGATGAAACCTATTTCATTCAGTTTGGAAACAAAGCTGCAAATGTTCGATTTAACATAATGCTAAATGGATCATCAGTCACAAGACTCACAGAGGGAAAATTCCTAGGTATCCACCTTGACAATAGCCTTAAGTTCCAGACACATATACAACAAATCAAGAAAATCTCTAAGACTGTAGGCATACAATCAAAGATACGGTACTATGTTCCACAATCAGCTCTCCTGGCACTGTACCATTCACTCATATGCGAGATAAGGATATCTCGCATATGGAATTTTTGCATGGGGATCAACATTAAATCATCTAAGACCTCTAATAACCCAGAAAAAGGAAGCAGCAAGAATAACAAATTCCCACTCCTGCCAGCATACTCCACCAATTTTCAAAAGCCTGAATCTGCTCACCATTAAGAACATCCATACTTATTCATGTGCCTACTACATACACAGAACAATACACACAAATATAAACCCTCCACTTCTCCTCACCAACCTTAACAGGACATGACCATAACACAAAACACAGATCTCTTTTTGATATACCTCGTGTCCATATCGCACTGTGTAAAAACTATGCACATAAAGGGCCCCAAAATATAGAATTTATTACCAGAAGATACTTAAGTAACCCAGTCAGAAAATCAATTTAAGACTTCTCAAAAGCCACTTAATTACCCTAGACTAAATGCTAAATACTCAGTACTCACATACTCATTATGTATTCCCATATCATAATTTCAACAATTACTTTTGAACCTTCTATCCATTGTCGACAGGAATATAATTGAATCATTGTTTTCACAAAAAGCATTTTTGAATATATGAATATATCTTTTCTTAGGTAGTAGGTTGGTAGACAGCAACCACCCAGGGAGGTACTACTGTCCTGTCAAGTGAGTGTAAAATGAAAGCCTGTAATTGTTTTACATGATGGTAGGACTGCTGGTGTCCTTTTTTCTGTCTCATGAACATGCAAGATTTCAGGTATGTCTTGCTACTTCTACTTACACTTAGGTCCCACTACACATACATGTACAAGCATATATATACACACACACACACTCCTCTGAGTTTTCTGCTATTTTCTTTCTAGTTCTTGTTCTTGTTTATTTTCTCTTATCTCCATGGGGAAGTGGAACAGAATTCTTCCTCCGTAAGCCATACATGTTGTAACAGGCGACTAAAATGCCGGGAGCAAGGGGCTAGTAACCTCTTCTCCTGTATATATTACTAAATGTAAAAGGAAAAACTTTCGTTTTTTCCTTTTACCCACCCCGCCTCGGTGGGATATGGCCAGTGTGTTGAAAGAAAGAATACATCTTTTGTCTTATATAGATTCACTTATAATTAATAATCTACTGAACAACTATGATATAATTCTTAGTGTTAGGTAGTTCAGTAAGCCAATAATGTTAAGTCGGCCCATAATGCCTAGGCATAATAGAGGCTCTCTTTGTATTGTAACCCATTATTGTAAATACATAATCTCAATGTACTATTTGCAAAGACATATATAAATAAAATAAATAGTTCTAACACTGACTGAAGTGCCAGTGAAGGTGAATTTCACGGTTTTGAGGAGGGTGTGGCTGAAATCAGTGCCCAGGATAACGTAATTAGTGATGAAAACGCAGATGGCCCACAACCTTCCACCACTGGTGCTGGGCCGCCTCATTCACGTTCACCCGTGCCAGGGCGAAAGAGGAAACTATTTCCCCATATACACGACTCAGATGTGAGCAGTGAAAATGATAGTGATAGTGATTTCCAAGCTACTGAATGCAGCTTGAGTTGCGACAGTGAGGGGCAATATTCTCCAGTGAAGCGGCAGTATGTACGATGCAGCATGCATTCTGGTGGTGTGCCACATGCCATTCTAAGGGGAAGTAGTAAATCTCAGAGTACATCCTGTGACCCTACACCACGAACTGATAGTGAAAATCACAATGATATTGTTACAATGGGGATGGATAATGTGCATAGGGCAGCAGGTGGTGGTGGTGGTGGTGGTGGGTGGCGGCGGCGGCAGTGAGATATGTCATGTGGCATCAGCAGCGGCCCACTCTGGTATCCACGCCATTAATTCAGCACAGCCACAACAAAGGCCACCCTCAACCACTTCCACACTCCCACAACCACAACCACAACCACCTGTCAGTATTTAGTACCCACCAGCAGACAGCATCTGGGATTGGCAGCAAGGTGCCAATTTTGTTCCCAATCTCCATTATTTTGATGAAACACAAAGTGGAATACTGCCATCGTGTACACTTGGGAACAATCCAAATTAATTTCCCCATAAGAAATAATGGAAATCCAATTAATCCATTCCAGACATCCAAAAGTATTAAACAAAATAATTCTTTTATATGAAATATACATTTCCCTACACAGAAAACAATGATACATGCAGAGTATAACATTACTAAAATGACGCTTACCTTCATTCAAGACTTATTGATGAGTGATGAGACAGGAGGGGAGAGGATGGAGGTGTACTTGTGTTTGGAAGGGAAATCACCTTCTATAAGGACATTAGGTACTAAGTCCTTTTCCAGGGTTTCTACCTTTATGTTTTTTAATGTCACTAGTCCCAAGAACCCTGTCACACCAAAAATCTGTCCAGAGAGCTCTGTTTCTGGGACACAACACTGCCATTGTAGATGTTGCCAATACGGCCTGCAACAGATCTGTCAGGGTGATGTTCATTCATAAATGTTTGCACTTCCGTCCACTTTGCACAAATGTCCTTAACCCTTAATTTGTCCAAATGTGGATCTACGTTTATGTGCGTAGCACTCCGACCTTGATTTTCTCCATAAGAAAGTATGTAAAAAAAAGTAGATCTACATTCGGAGCGCTACGCGAGCAAACTCAGAACTACGTTTGGACAGTTTAACCCTTTCAGGGTCCAGAGGCCCTCTCCGAGACTTGTTCTCAGGGTCCCCCCCAATTTAAAAAAAAAAAATTCTTATGAAAAGATAGAGAATCTTTTCCCGATCATAATGACACCAAAAGTATGAAATTTGATGGAAAACTTACGGAATTATGCTCTTGCGAAGTTAGTGGTCCCGACGATGTTTACGCATCGGCGATTTTGCACACTTTGACCCCTATTTTCGACCAATTCCAGTGTACTAGTCAACAAAAATCATACCCATTTCGCTAGAACTCCATTTTTTTTCTACCGAATGAGTACAAGAAACCATCCATTTACCGATTTCAGCTATCCAATACAGTGGTCAGAATTTAGCAATTTTGCCAATTTCACACAAATTTCAAAAGATGCCAATCTCCAAATAGGGTCCAGAATAAACAAGAAAGACATTCCTGGCACTAAGATAACATTTCCTCTGTTCATTAGTCATGCCCCCAGGCCCCTCTTACATTCGTTTGCTTTCCATTTTGAATTTTTATTCTCACAAAAAAATTCAAGATTTACTGTTATGCAGACTACTGCATTAGTGTAGAAATGGTATAAATAATATCGGCACACTTGTGAGAGAATATTAGACTCACCAGTTGACGTGTTTTGGACGCTTGGAATGATTTGTTTACTTTTGAACTTTGGTAAAAATCGAACATTTCTGTTACTTTGAGCTCAATTTCAAGGTATTTTTCATTGTAAAACCAGTCAAAATCATCTCAATTTCTGTAATATGTCTTCCATTCTATTAAATGAGACCAGGAAAACTAGAATACAACAATAAATACCATACAAAAATACAGTGCAAAGTCACTGTTTTAATCCAAAAACGCGGTCAAAGTTCTTTTTTTTCTCATTACGCACTGTGTGCTGCAGGATTTTTTTATACTGCGCACACTGACCATATAGACCCATTCTTTCATATGTAGGCCTACCAGCTTTCTCACTAGGTTTGAAGGCGCTAGAATTTATGAGTACTAGTACGTCAAGGACCCTGGCACGTAAACCGTACTAGCACGGCAGAAACCCTGAAAGTGTTAAGGGTTAATATTTGAAGGCAGCACCTTCCTCCTCTGAAGGAAATTCCTGAGCTCTTGCAGCTCTGTAGTGGTTAGCTCTTCATCGTCGTCCCCCACCAACTTTTCCCACATCCTCCAAACTCACATCCAACCCCATGGAATTCCCCAATGCCACAATAGATTCCACAACTGCCATAGGTTCCTCAGGGTCAGCCCCAAGCCTTTCAAAATCCCTCTCTTGTACACGTTCTGGCCACAGTTTTCTCCAAGCAGAGTTCAAAGAACTGGAAGTCACTCCCAAGCCTTTCCTGTAAGGTTTATGCAACTGAGGATACTGAAGTGATCTTTCCAGAACTCTGTTAGGGTCAATTCAGTGTCTGTGGCCATTTCAAAGCACTTCTGAAACACTGCTTTGGTGTACAACTTTTTGAAATTTGGAATGACCTGCTGGTCCATGGGCTGGAGGAGAGGAGTGGTATTAGGGGGCAAGAACTTAACTTTAATGCAACTAAACTCTGGCATCATTTGCTCTTCCAAGTTTGGAGGATGAGCAGAAGCATTGTCTATTACCAGGAGGGACTCGAGTTCCAATTTATTTTCCAGGAGCTATTTTT